GAGAGAGAGAGAGGTGCATCACCCATCATCATATTTTAGACTCCAGGTGAAGCCTTAACAGGTCATCTATGTTACATGCCCAGCCTGCACAAGGGGCCCGTTTTGGGTTCCTGATGGTTACTAAGGCCCCCAGGCCGCCTGCCCATTCCAGGCATGCGACCTGGAGGCCCGCGGCCACGTTTTGGCCGCAGGTTCAGATTCAAGGCAGCATTTATTTATTTATTTGTTTATTCCCAGTTGTTTGTCTGTTGCAGGGGAATGCTTCGGACTTGCGATGTCCGAACATACTTTCAGTTTGTTTGGACCTAGGCCACATTCTGGGCGTCCTTCATGACTGGGCCCTTGGAGGCCAGATTCAGTTTCGTCTGCTAGCAGGACGTTCCCTGCTGCATCAGCAGGAAGGTCTGGACGTCCGGTAGGGACCCAGACAGTGTAGGCCGTTTCAGGCCAGGGCCAGGGGCACACCAGCAAGGCCCAGCGCTATACATAGCTGGGCCAGGCCAGGGCACACACACAGTTCGAGTAGCTCACTTCTTGGGCTACATGCTGCTGGAGCAGCGCGACACGACGCTGCGCTAGAGGTAGAGGAGTAGGTAGGTAGAGAGAGAGATAGAGAGAGAGTGAGGGAGGCAGCGGCCAGACCTGCAGTGGCGGTACTTACCTCGACGCCATATCTGGGGCCCACACCAGCGACCTGCCCCAGCCGCACGGTGGCAGCAACACGGCGGCAGTTACCTGCAGGTGAGACAGCGAGGAGGCGGCATCTTCTTCTTCCTGCTGTCCGCACCCTCCACCTCCATCTCTCCGCTCTCCTTTCTTCTTCTTCTTCTTCTTCCCCTTCTTCTTCTTCTTCTTCTTCTTCTTCTTCTTCTTCTTCTTCTTCTTCTTCTTCTTCTTCTTTCAGAGGGAGAGAGAGAGTTCGCAGGCAGGTGTTACTTCGGGCTATGAAGCCCGGGATCTGATTCGACATTTTGTGGCACACATTAATTGGACATTCGACGGGCAGACTATTTTTGGACTTTGCTATCGCGATCTTGGTCTTCTCCCGCCTCTCCATCTTCGTCTCGCCTCTCCCTCATCTCCTCATCCGTGGTATCTCCCCATTTGCGTGCTCGAGGAGGGACCTTTCTTCCATGTATGCGGTCCCTCCACTCCCTCTCACATATGTGGTGTATGATGGGGTGTCGCATCAGTATCTGTCAGGTCAGGTCATATCTTTGAGTCTTCTGTTGTGCTACATTATGCTATTTTCGCATGTATCTGGATTCTGGATGTACATTGCTTGTTGATGTTTTGCTGACGCTGCCTTGGCCATTTGTGTCCTTTTAATCACTTTGCGGATCCTTGGCTCCACATACATTGCTCGAACGAGCATGTTTCATCTAGTTTTCTTTGAAAGGAGAATATTGCTTGGTTCTCGAACAACACGCAGCGAATTTACTTACGTGAATATGGTAAGAGCTGACTAGCCCATTGTTGTCTTTCCTTTGTGGTGCTGTCTCTTTCAGGTTGCCAGGGACATCCCATATGCGGTTGTGCAGTTCTCTATCTATGAAGCTTTCAGGCGATCATTTATTGCTAAACAGAAAGCTGAGAAGTTGCACAATAGCGAAATAGGACTAGAACAGAGCAACATCATCAGGACACTTTGGGTTGGAGCGGTATGTTGAGGCCAGCACAGTGAAGGTTCCCTCCATTACTGCCCCAGATTTATGACACCTGACATGAGGGCTGTACATGATATGCCTGGGATCGGGTCCTTACTATTTTCCTAAACTGTAGGGATCAGTTCGAAAACTTTTGCGCTTCATGACTGTACTCCACCCCCAACATTTTTTTTTTTTTTAAATGGAACTAGTGCGAGGCTCAAGGCCTCGATCTGCCCTACTGGGCCCTATTTTCTGTACAGTCGGCCGCCCTAAGTGAAGGCAGGCTCGACCCAGGGCCTACAGGCCTAATTTTGGGGTCATCACGCAACTGGGTAAATTCAGGCAGTTGTGCAGCGCCAGTTGGTTGAGAGTGCCCAGGCCCAGGCTGCCTCTCTCGAATCTAACTGAGGCAGGCCCTGGGCCAGATTCGCAACATGAACCAAACACAGGCCGCCGCCAGTTGGACATGAGCAACCACTACAGGCCCAGGGCCTGTTTCGTTTGGACTGGGGCTCAGCCTCTCTGGGCCTACCGGAAGCCTCTTGGCAGGGGCCCATCACAGCCAGGCTGCATGCAAGCAGGCAGGCCACTTCCATTTAGGAAAGTGCCTGCCCACACATTCGGCATTTGGGCACTGGCTGCATGCTGCGCTAGACGCTGGCCAGCTCTCACGCACTCATGGGCGAGCTGGAAGGAGCAGGCAGCCATAGCCAAGCTGCGCTGCTGTATGCTGGATGGGGTGCAGGGTGGTTCTTGGGTGCATCTGGCATCCGTGAGTTGGGGGTCGAGGTTGTGAGTGATATGAGAGACATACCTGGTGCGTGAGGCGAACGGCATTGGCCGAGATCTGCTCGTACTTCAGGGAGCTGTTGACGTCATCAGCGGCATTGTAGATAGGCTAGATAGGATCTGCCATCTTTATTCTGGGTGCCGAGCACCAGATAGGATATCGACATTGGTTCTTTGTTGATGATGATGAGACTATTCCAGCATTGTCAATTATGAGCTTTTGCTGTGCTCTTATTTGGTGGAACTTGTGATGCAATTCTGCTTTTGGTTCGAGGTCACGACTATCTGGTCTCATTTGTATGATGCTGCTTGGTTTCTGAAGTTCGCTATCGCGCATTTTCCTTGCAATTTGGTATCGGAGCTGTGGTACAATGCGCTCATCTGATGCTTGTCTTCTGTCTAAGCGGTACATGCATGCGGTCTGCTTAGCGAGTGGCCGTGGGAGGTGTGTAGTGAAGAGGGAGAAGGCAAGTAAGGCGACCCAGGAGGTGAGGGGTATCGCCAGGAAGGCTACGTGGTGAATATCGGGTATTCGCAGTGTGATGAGAACTATCTGATGTGCGATTGATGCTGAGGTGGAACGGCAGTGTAATTCGGGATGTGCCGAAGCAGCGATTGGCCATGCCAATCGGCATCAGGTCATTTGGTGAGAATATCTGTGGTTGGGGGCAGCTATTTTGAGGTACGTTGCACCTAACCTTATCTACCCTCTTCGACACTTCTTACCGTGAGGATGTGTGTTCTGTTTTGAGAGTCCTCTCATGTGAGGAGTAGAGTGCACTCAACCTTGAGAGTCGGCATTGTTCATGTGGAGCATCTGGAAGGAGAGGGCGGAGCTATCTGAACGGCCCTGGAGGGGGCAGGCCAGCCCTACCCTAAAGACGAATACCGAACGTCTATAAATAAGTACTGGCGGGGACCTTCCATTGGCTGTGATCATCGTCCTGTTTGCGACGTTAAATAATTCTCGAGGACTTTCGGGGCTGTCCATAAAAGCGCCTCGTGATCAGCCAATCGGTCGGTGTAAGGCTCGCTGCACGCAAAGATAGATAATGTGCAGGGCTGGCCAGCTCAGCATAACTCGGGGCACAGGGGTGGGCCGTGTCCACACCTTTAGACACGCACGCTGTTCCGGATTGCTCAGGGATGCTGACGACAAGAGACATTCAGGAAGGACTCAGGGAGGGGTAGATTCCAGGTGACAAGTTTCAGAAAGATTCCACTATGCAAACAGCCAATCAAATGCTTCTGTTTTTATTTTGATTAGTTAGATGTACAACCATTAACATTTGACAGACAGCATAGTTGGAACTGTTTTCTGCTCATTGTGCTTTCCGTTTGCAAACTAGTCAAAGTCAAAATAGTTTCGTTTGTAGGAATCTGAACTTACCTGTTGAACCCAAATGAGTAGTCTCTGACATAGCCACCGATTATTTATTTTACTTATTTTAAATCGGTCTGTACATCATGCTGCGGTAGGCATCGAGAGTGTCCTAGTGCAGACAGTGTACAGTGTTGTAGCCTATGAGTGACAGGGAGGTCCCACAACCGGACGATAGGATCTTGCGATCGGCAAGACGCCTGATAGCCCACTTGGCAGTAGGAGTAGAGGGCGACATATACCTGTTCCGCCAGCAGAGGGAGAGACAACAGGGCCTACCGCAAGATCCTATCGTCCTCTGCTGGCGGAACAGGTATATGTCGCCCTCTACTCCTACTCCCAAGTGGGCTATATGTCGCCCTCTACACCTATCTCCTATGGGAGGCAGTGCTATCAGGTATATGTCGCCCTCTACTCCTATCGCCTCCTGAAGATCATACCACCTATCTTCCACCAGCTTACTCCTATGTTCCGCCAGCAGACATGATCTTCAGGAGGCTCAAAAGGCCACTGACGTGATCTTGACATTGAACAACAGGCAGTTCAAGTCAATAGGAGAAGCCACAGACGCAGTAGAGCGTCTGATCTGTGTTCCTGTAGTACACTATGACCCCCAGGTCTTACTCATTGAATACCTGAGATGTTTTCCTTTGCCTCTCACGAACCAGTTGGTAGGTGAGGCCAACATCAATATGCACAACTTTCCCTCGTTCAGCAAGAACGCCCTAGACCTGGAGGAAAAGATAGGGCATGGACAGACACCCACGACGGACGGTAGGAAGAATGCACTGCCTCCCAACTGAAAGGCGAAAGGCCGCATAATGTTCGTCGACAACGATGGTTCAACCATCGAGTTAGAAGATGACTTCCAAGCGGGAGTAGGTTCTGAGGCGGGCAACGTAGAAGTTGCAGGGGGTGGAACAATCGCTGCCTCTGTCCAGAAAGGTAAGGCGACCTGTAGACGCCTTGCAGTTTCTCGGTCTAGGAGTCAAGTTGACCCTAATGCTCCCTCCATGAGGGAAAGTGGGTCTCACAGAGGACGTGTGAAGAGATAGGTATACCGGGCAGGCCTGTATTCGTTGTGGTCAATATGGCCACAACCAATTCAAGTGCTGCAATAAGAAGGTGACCGAGAAGATCCCGCGTACGATGGGGCAGGCGTTGGGATCCTCCGCTCCCGTAGGTAGCAATGTGGCCAGCAGTTTTGGCACTGCTCCAGGAAACACGTCGGGCCAGTAGGAATAGTAGTTGTTCCCGCTAGGGTCGAGGTGGTGGACACACCCTCACCATCTCGAGAGATGGCCCAAGGTATTGACTCCATCGTCGTCCGACAAACACAGTCGGACGCAGCGATCCTTTATTCGCTGAATGTGTTTGAGTCCTTAGAGGAGCTAGAGGAGGAGTGGTCTAGATCGGACCCGCTAACTTCTTGGACGGCCATGGCCAAAGCCCCTAAGGGTGAGTTGTTCGTTGGCGAGGTAGTCATCGACGGTTGTAAGGCCGGGGCCTATTATGAAACTTGCTCGACGCGGAACTTCATTAGTCGCGCGTGCATTGAGAGGCTGCGCTTACAGGGGCACGTGCAGCGCCTGAGTCGACCTGTGGAGTCGACTTGTACCAACAAACAACGCATGGCAGTCAACGACCCTCAAAGACATTGAGTGTTTTTTTTCGTACGCGGGAGGGGAACTGAGACATCGAGTCTCGTTCCTAATATGATCTCCCTATGGACATCTTGTTAGGTATGTACTACCTCTTGGTTGCACAGCCCCAGTTTGACTGGGACTGAAAAATAGTCAAACACATGTTGCCCAACGGGAAAACCGCCAGATTGCTAAAGTATAAAGCTAGTAGTCTGATCAAGTCCTATGGGTGTATGTGCGCGACTGCGTTTTATAATTATTAAAAGCAAAATCAGGAGGAGGGTATGTACCTAGTTTATGTCTCTGCAGAGGGTGAGCCGGTGAAAACGCCTCCAGAGATAGAGGGAGTGGTCGCTAGGTACCCTGATCTATTCGAAGAGCCGAAAGGGGTTATTGAGAGGGAGGTCGTCCACGCGATAGAGATTATCTTAGGGTCTAGCATTCCGAAGAGTAGGATCTATCGGATGTCTCCAGGTGAGCTCGATGAGCTTCGCCGACAACTCAAGGATCTCATAGAGAAGGGTTGAATCCGGCCTAGTGTTTCCCCTTACGGATCTCCTGTACTATTTGTACCAAAGAAAGGGGGGACCTTGAGGATGTGCATTGACTATAGGGGCCTCAATGCCATCACTGTGAAGAACGTCGAGGCCCTACCGCGCATTGACGACTTGCTACCGACTGCAAGGGTGTCGGTACTTCAGTAAGATAGATCTGAAGTACGGGTACCATCGGATTGCAATAATCCGGCCCGAGGATCAACACAAAACCGCATTTCAGACCAGGTACGGTCTGTACGAGTGTGTGGTGATGCCTTTCGGCCTTTGCAATGCTCCTGGCACCTTTCAGCACGCGATGAACTGAATATTTCATGACTACTTGGACAAGTTTGTCATCATGTACCTCCATGACATACTTACCTTCAGTAGGACTGTCGAGGAGCACGTAGCGCACTTAGATAAAGGCCTTAGCCTCATCAGACAACACCAATTCAAGATCAACCTGGAGAAGTGTGAGTTTGGTCGCACCCGGATCTTGTATCTGGGTCATGAGATTTCCGCGGACGGGATGAAGCCCGATGACGCGAAGGTGGCCAACATTCGTGACTGGCCGCGTCTTTAGTCTGTGATTGGGATGAGGTCCTTCTTAGGGATGACAGGCTACTACCGCAACTTTGTTTAGAACTATAGCATAGTGGCCGC